TATTCTGAAACTATTATTCTATCTATCTTCAAACTATCTTATTCTGAAACTATCAATCTATCTATCTTCAAACTATCTTATTTCAAACTATCAATCTATCTTTCTTTTAACTTTCTTATTCTGAAACTATGAATCTATCTATCTTCAAACTATCTTATTCTAAAAACTATCAATCTATCTATCTTCAAACTATCTTATTTTAAACTAACAATCTATCTTTCTTTTAACTTTCTTATTCTGAAACTATCAATCTATCTATCTTCAAACTATCTTATTCTAAACTATCTTATTCTAAGACTCAATCTATCTATCTTTGAACTATCTTATTCTGAAACTACTAATATTATTATAAAAAATAGACTAAAATTATTCTATTAATTTATCATTTCTTGAAGTTACATGCAACTTTTTTTCCTTAAAAAGTGCAACATTCTGAACTTTAAATTTTTTTGAGATTCAGCATATTTTATGAACAAATAGACTAATTGGGAAGCATATGATTGTGTGCGTGAAATTTTCAATGCAGCGCTTTTTTTAAACACCAGCATACTCTCACAGTAACTGGATTTTTATACAAATCTAAACTGTTTTGTTTTTGTTTGCGAGTATTTCATTTCCTGTATTCCCTTCCCCTTTCCTTCAAAAGAAATCAACATACCCCCCTCCCCCTATCCTCCTCTAGTCCCCCCCTCCCTACCTCAATTTCCCACTAATATCCCATGGGAACGACGGGGGATATGTGACTAAAAACCAGCAACTTTTTCACCAGAATACAGTAAGGTCTATATACACTGTACAGACCCCTTTGCGGATTTTTTGCTTCCCATGCCGAGGACCTGAAAAAATGGTCTGCAGGCAGATGAGCCCAGAAGGCTTGACCAGGGGGTTAAATGAGGAATTTGAATTCCAGTGAGAATTTTGCGGATTTTTTCAAATTCGTGCATTTTCGGATGGGAAAATGGTTTGGGAACCAGGGGGAGGGGCGTTGTACCAATAATATTTAAATATCAATCCTCTGTATCTGGGTATGATTTCCCACATCTATTTGTGCCAGCCCTATAAACTAACACACTATAGTTTCAGTATAAGTAAATATTTCCATTTACTGTTAAAGCGCCGATATTGAGAATTTATTTCTAATTGGATAATGAGCTAGATAGGAAGATAGATGTTACCGCCATGCAATTTCTATTGGTTCAGAATAGACACCAAACATATGGCTGAACCCTGATTGGATCAGACGCTAATGGACTCGGCATACAGGAGTGTATACAGTAGACGGTAAGACTAAAGCTGCGAGTGCAATATCGCAGAGAAAGTTTTCAGAATTCTATTTAGACCTATGAGACGTTGATACTCTGTATATTGTTGGGCAAGAGCGCAAATTTGATCCGTAAAATCCTCCTGGATTGTCGAGTCCATTCTGGAGGCTTTTTAAAATTACTTATTTATGACGACGCAAAATGTACCAACAATTATATTTTTATGATATAATATATGCATATATGTTATGTACCACCCTGCATCCTCCATCCTCCATCTAGGATAACTCTGTATACTTCATACTCCATCCTCCACCCTGCATCCTCCATCCTCCATCTAGGATAACTCTCCATACTCCATCCTCCATCCTCCACCCTGCATCCTCCATCTTCCACCATTTATCCTCCATCCTTCACCCTCCATTCTCCATCCTCCATCCTGCATCCTCCATCCTGCATCCTCCATCTTCCATCCTCCATCCATTTTTCCTCCATCCTCCATCATCCATCCATTTATCTTCCATCCTTCACCCTCCATTCTCCATCCATTTATCCTCCATCCTTCACCCTCCATCCTCCATCTTCCATCCATTTATCCTCCATCCTCCATCTTCCGTCCATTTATCCTCCATTCATTTATCCTCCATCCTTCACCCTCCAAACTCCATTCTCCATCCTTTATTCTCCATTCATTTATCCTTCATCCTGCATCCTCCATCCTTCATCCTCCATTCATTTATCCTCCATCCTCCATCCTCCATCCTCCATCCTTCATCCTCCATTCATTTATCCTCCATCCTGCATCCACCATCCTTCATCCTCCATCTTCAATCCTCCATCCATTTTTCCTCCATCCTCCATCATCCATCCATTTATCTTCCATCCTTCACCCTCCATCTTCCATCCTGCATCCTCCATCCATTTTTCCTCCATCCTCCATCATCCATCCATTTATCTTCCATCCTTCACCCTCCATCCTCCATCCTGCATCCTCCATCCTTCACCTTCCATTCTCCACCCTGCATCCTCCATTCTCCATCCTGCATCCTCCATCCTTCACCCTCCATTCTCCACCCTCCATCCTCCATCCTCCATTCTTTACCTTCCATCCTCCATTCATTTATCCTTTATTTTATTCATTATCTTTATTTCAATTCTTGAGCCTCATTCCCCCATATATCTATTCATTTCTCTCCTCCATATATCTATTCATTTTTCTTCTCTATATATCTATTCATTTCTCTCCTCCATATACATGTTCATTTCTCTCCTCCATATATATTTTCATTTCTCTCCCCCATATATATATTCATTTTTCTCCCCCATATATCTATTCATTTCTCTCCTCCATATATCTATTAATTTCTTTCCTCGTTATATCTATTCATTTCTCTCCTCTATATATCTATTAATTTCTCTCCTCGTTATATCTACTCATTTCTCTCCTCATTATATCTATTCATTTCTCTCCTCTATATCTATTCATTTCTCTCCTCATAATATGTATTCATTAATTCATTTGTTCATTTATTCACCCGTTTATTGATTCATTCTATTAATCCTTCTTCCGTACATTTATTCATTTCCTCCTGTCTCTCATCACATTAGGTTAATTTTGAAATTTCTCAAGAAAAAAATCCACTGAGATTTATTTAGCCCTGTATTAATTCCCTTCCCGTGTATTTGACATTAATATTATCTTTCTTTGAGCCATTGATATTTTTCTGTAATTACCTGATAATTATAAAATTTAATGTCTTTAGTATATATTATATATTTACCCTCGACATAAAACATATAAACATAAAGTGTTACTCTCAATACCTGACGTGTCATTCTCCCCAGCGTCTTTTTCTTTAAGTATTTAACGACGAATTTAAAGTAACCTTCCGGTCAATGGGGCATTCCTTATTCACAATGATGGTATCCTTTTACATTCTTTTCAGCAGAACTAAATGAGATATCATTGCTTTTTTATCCGAACAATGGTTATTTCAAACCATGGTTTCTCTGTAAAAAAAGAGAATGGCGGATATATGTAGCAAAGACAAATAAGAAATTGAACAATTCTTTAGATTTGAAAAAGTCATTATCTAAATTCCATATTGTTCAGAGGGTCCGTTTGTGAATCGAATATCTTCTGAGTGGTTAATATCTTCAAGGGTTAGGAGAAAACTGGGCTCTGATTGGTTAAAGAATTCTATTGTCTGGCGCTAGCTGTGCTGTGATTGGTCCGGGGGTTCTATTGTGTTGGCTCGGTTCAACAATAGTGGGAGGAGTATACACACAATAATCTAAACTTCTCCTAGCTCCAGTATAATAGGAAATAAAACTTCTCTCCCTCTCTCTCACTACTTACTTTATACTTTCTTGCCTATTATTTCTTATAAGTTTTTTTATTTGTTGAATGAGAAAGCTTGTTCTGGCCGTTTGGCCAATACATTGTGAAAAAGTAGAAGTAGAAGTAAATATTTCCATTTACTGATAGCGCCGATTGAAGGATTCATAACTCTAATTAGATAATGAGCTAGATAGAAAGATAGCTGTTACCGCCATACAATTTCTATTGGTTAAGAATAGACACTAAACACATGACTGAACCCTGATTGGAGCAGGCGCTAATGGAATCGGCATTCAAACTTTTCATTTTTAAGAGAGACGTTCACACATGCAGTAATATATATAAAGGTTGCAAGCTCTCCAGCAAAAATGGTTGAAAATTTTGCCAATTACTTTTTAGATATAGATAATGTCTAGGGATCCCAACAAGTAAAGTACAAGGAATAGATGAATATAGAAGAATAGATGAATAGATGAAGGACAATATATAAATTGTGGATAAATGCCTTACAAAGAATAAATGAATAGATAAATGTCAAGGCTAAAGATAAATGAAGGGATGAATGTACAGACAAGGAATAAATGAATAGATGAATGACAAGGCTAAAGATCAATGAATGGATGAATGTCCAGACAAGGAATAGATGAATAGATGAATGACAAGGCTAAAGATCAATGATGGATGAATGTCCAGACAAGGAATAGATGAATAGATGAATGACAAGGCTAAAGGCAAGGTATATAAATTGACCAGCCTCCTAACTATAGCTTGTATCAGCAGAAAAATTGCTGAACTCGCAGCTTTAATAGAATATACTTAAACACTAAGCCTCATACACTATCCCTCTATCAATCTATTACACGAGCTAAATTTCTATAAATAGCCCCTAGGCCTCGATGGCTAAATAGCTCAATAGCTGTCTCTTTTTATTCAGTTTTTGTATTTGATTTTGTTTTGTTTTCTGTATATTAAGTCAGAAAGAAATCCAGCCAATTTAGCTAATTAGCGTTTTCTTTACATGGAGGACTATAGAGGGAAAATAGAGGTTTCTGTTGGGGAAAAGAGAGAGATAAACAGGCAAACAGATAAACAGCTAGATAGATAGATACATAGAGAGAATAGAGAGAATAAAAGAGTCCGGAAAGGCCTCTCTCTCTCCTGCCTCCACATAATATCATCAATCCTTTCTGTTCTATTGGTCTATTGTCCCAGCTCTCTCGACCAATCAGAATCCTGCGCGCCTCACGGTCCGCGCCAGCATTGTTTGCCGAGTCAGCTATTGTCAGGCCCGGTCTGCCTATTGTAGGTCGGACCGGGTCGATCTATTGTCCCAGCCTTGGCTGGTAAATGGTCGGTCCGGGTCGGTGTATTGTGGTGGCGCGGGTGACCTGACCCGTACCGCAAGGGCTGGAGAATCGCCAATTGTACCTTGTATTCGCCTTTATAGAAAGCTCTGCAGTTGTTATCCGGGACTGAACCGTTCACCATAGTTCCAGGTTAAACAATTATTTCAATTATTTTCATATTTTAGAATTTTTTACCAAAACCAAAACATAACTTGTTTAGATGCTTTCATGTCGACAAGAATTATGATAATGTAATTAAGTATTTTATCAGAGATTTTTTGTTCTCCAAACATTAGATTTATTTGTTCTAAAATGAGAAATATAATAACTTTGCCCTTCGACCTATAGCTACACTTTTTATCCCAGATCATTATTTTTTATTTTGCCAGAACATTAAATGCATTTATTTATTTGTTATAATTCAATATCAATACGTTTTCTTGCAAGTTGCAAGTTTCAAACAAATATTCTCAGCATAGGAAAAATCAAAAACACTTGTCCCCATCTGAATACATAAACACATTTTTCGTTCTTTAATAAAAATATCCCTTATGAAATTTTCTTATTTCTTCCCTTTTTAATTATTTTGCTGTCGCACCTAAATATTATATATTTGCTTTTCTTTTCATTAAATTTTTTCAGTTTGATGTCTCTCCCCAGTTTCTTTCATAACCTATTTTTAATTTGCTCCTAACACACTACTAAACATGAAATATATCTATGTACATAAAGTAGTACTCTCTGTTTGTTGTTTGTATGTGCGATCATAACTCAGGAACCCCCTTAACCGTTTCCAAACTAGTATTTATTAGGATTAATCTGAGAAATAGACTAAAGTATCATGTTTCTAGGAAAGATGTCTTCCAAGCGTAAATCGCATCCTATGAAACTATTAACAGAGCCTCAGTTTGTTCCAAAGGTAGGATTTTATAGATAGTGTTATTTTTGCTTTCCTTACATTTGCATTAATCATCATTCACTCTATAAAGAAATTGAGTTTTTGCCACAAACTCTGATTTTCTGAGCCCTATAATCCTTGAAACCTGATGGAGTAAACTTTTGATATTTCAAACTTAGAGTATTTGATCAGAATTCATAGTTTGAAATATCTAAGGTCTACGACATTGGGATGTAAATATATGAGAGTTTGAATATCAGAGCTTGTGACAAAGACTCAGTTCCTTTACTTATTAGGAACAGTTTTTCATTTAGATAATTGAACCATCGAATTATTTTTTATTTTTAAAATTTTTCATTTTAGCAAAGTTCGTTTTTCCAGCACTCGATTGAAGACATGCTTCCTACTCAAAACCAAAACAGTTCTAATGAGCAAGGTAAATAAACATAATCATTGATTTACAGCTATTTTACATCTTTAAAACACAAAACTAAAGGTTTTTGAAATTTACTTTGAAATCTTTCATATTTTCAACCATAAATCCTTTCCAATGAGCTATTCATAAGAAAAAAGTCATTATATGCAATAAAACAAGTTCACTTTATTTACGTTTGGAGTTCTGAGGTCGCAAAATCGTAAAAGTAATTCCGAGTAAAATCAAAATAACATTTTGACTAATTTTCCAATAAGCTTGCAAATGTTAAGGTGTTGGTGTAAAACAGTTAAAATTTTTTGTTTGTTTTAGAGCCCAGATCTCCCAGTCCTCGAAGCCCGAGGTTGGTAGAACAGCCTCGCGAGGCCATGACAGAGATATTGAAGAAGCTGGCGCAGAGGAGTCAAGAGAATATAAAGAGAGCTCAGGACGCTACCAGGTAAAACACGGGACCTTTACCTCAATTTTGAACTGGATTTTAACCCTTAACTTTGATTCAATTTTAACCTCAACTTTGACCTCAACCATGACATTAAACTTCACCTCAGTATTGACCTCCATCTTGATCTTAAACTTAACCTCAACCATGACATCCAACTTGACCTCAGCTCAGCATTGACCTCCATCTTGATCTCAAACTTTATCTCAACTTTGACCTCAACCACAAAATAAAACTTGACCTCAGCATTGACCTCCATCTTGACCTCAATCTTGACCTCAACCTAGACCTAAACCATGACCTAAACCATGACCTAAATCATGACCTCAACCTAGACCTAAATCATGACCTAAACTTTGACCTCAAACTTGATCTCAACCATGACCTCGACCAATACCTAAACTATGACCTAAACCATGACCTAAACCATGACCTAAACCATGACCTAAACCATGACCTAAACCTTGACCTAAACCATGACCTAAACCATGACCTAAACCATGACCTAAACCATGACCTAAACCATGACCTAAACCATTACCTAAACCATGACCTCGACCTATACCTAAACTATGACCTAATTCATGATCTTAACCATGACCTAAACCATGACCTAAACTTTGACCTCAAACTGGACCTCAACCATGACCTCGACTTATACCTCAACTATAACCTAAACCATGACCTAAATCATGACCTAAACCATGACCTCAACCATGACCTCAACCATGACCTCAACCATGACCTCAACCATGACCTCGACCTATACCTAAACTATGACCTAAACTATGACCTAAAACGTGACCTAATCCAAGACCTAAACCGTGACCTAAACCATGACCTAAATCATGATCTTAACCTAACCTAAACCATGACCTTAACCATGACCTAATCCATGACCTAAACCTGACCTTAACCATGACCAAAACCTTGAGCTCAAACTTGACCTTAACCATGACCTAAACCATGACCTAAACCATGACCAAAACCATGACCTAAACCTAAACCTAAACCATGACCTAAACCTTGAGCTCAAACTTGACCTAAACCTTGACCTGAAACTGGACCTTGTCCTCAAACTAACTTATTCTTTATTCTTGATTAACAGCTTGTGAAATTTTATTGCCTAAAATTAACCTGTTTTGGCAGCAACTGACCTTATTTAACCATAAATGGCCATATTTGTCACTTAGAATGATGGAAAATGTAACTGTGCGACCTATAAATGAAGATGAAAAGCTGCGAGAAATGATCTATTCTATTTACAACTATGTACATCAAAAAGAAAGGTAAATTATTAAAAAACTCTAAAGCTACAGTTTACTATTGACAAAAATAGAAAAAAAGATTTAATTTTTTCTTTGTAGAGCACAAACCCCTGACAGTGTCCCCTCTGGGTCTCTTAACTCTACTTCTTCATCTGAAGGTATATTTAACATGAAGCTGGTCACCCATCCGTTTACCAATTTAACTTAACCTAAAAATCCGGCATTGTCTAATCCTTTGTTTAACTTTTTATTCTGTAGGTGCTGGATATAGCCCAATTGTTGGGGGTTGTAGTCCTCCAAGAAGTGAGGATAGCCCCCACAGGGGAATACGTAGCCCCCATAGCAGTGAACTATGTAGCCCCCCTCCCCTCCTCTCCCCCCAACATCTACAGCACTATGGTCTACTGCAAATGGTAAATTGAATTCATTAATCTATCATCTTCTTTAAACATGCATCTGCAGTCTAACAGATTATATTTCTATATTTTAAAATAAAACTATCCTATATTGTCCGCATATATTTTTAAAAAAATTTAACTTTTAGATAACACTTTTTTCTTTCTTTCTTAAAAAGCTTTAATGGGTCGTTTTGAGAGATAAAAAGACAATATTTTCCTCAGTGTTACACAGATAAAGGAATGAACTCATTTAAAGGGACTGTACAGGAAAAATGAAAGGGGGTATAGGATTAAAGGGACTGTAAAGGAAAAATTAAAGGGGATATATAAAAAGAAACCTGAGAAGCTCAGGCGTTGAACGATACATATAAGACAGATATCTGATGTTCCTCTCTCAAGAATTTGATATAAAACTGTGTCAAATTTATACAAAAATTAATGTATATGCAATTTTGTAAAAAAGTTGTAGTATTAAACAGATCATATTCAACAAATACGCAACCAATCTGAAATCGTTGTTCCTTAGAATTGAGTTATGGGATTGTGTTACATGTTCCTATTGTCCAAATTTTCAAGGCCAGCTCATTAAGAAAGTAGAGCTATATCTTTAATGGTGCTGCTGCATAGCGGTAGGTTTGTAATAAAACGTTTAACACGCCAAAAATCTTGATGCGATCATGTGCATTCTGTAACTATTTGATATCCAGGTTCCTGGGCAGGGAAGGGAAGAGCATACACCCCTGAATTTATCAAAGCATAGAATTAATCCTGAATATGCTGAGCATAATAATAACAACCAAAATTCAGGTAATAAATCAATTAATAAATTCGAGTTTGGTCGTCTTCGTTAGTTGTCTAAAAATGTGTCTAATAGTGTATTTCAATGATCAAAATTATTAAATCATCGTTAGTCGAGAGTTTTTAAAATGATTATTATTAAGGTATTTATTTTAATCAGCGGTGACACCAAATTACAAAATAAAGAAACCTGCGTGTCAGAAACTTAAACTTTTGCAGATAAAAAAAGCTTGCAGTTTATCCAATCACGTCTATTAGCAACGCGTTTTTGCGGATGACGAGATCATTTAAATTAAAAAAGTTGAATTTGCCTAACAAAAAGCATTGGATTTTCCCAGAAAGAAGTCACAGATAATTTGATAGTAATTTCATCCATCTAAAGAAATTTAACCGAATTTAATTAAATCTTTATCTTACGCTTTTTTGCCCGCTGAACTTTAATTTCATACATATTATCCAAATTTTTTACTTTATAAGCTTTTACGTTTTTTTTTGACAGAAATATCTAATATTTTTTAAACTTTATGTTTTCTTAGGTGACTCTGTAAATATATTTTACAAATCTCGTCTTCCAGATCTAATCTCTTCCAGTTCTCCTCCTCCTCCTCCTCATTCTTCTTCTTCTCGTCCTTCCCATCTTCTTCATCCGTCCTACCTCACACCTTCATCCAACCTTCTCCATGGTCTTCCTAGGCACTCATTCTCACAAATTCAAGGTCAGACCTCATTCTTAGCTTTACGGTAACGTATTCAATCAGTTCAATTCAATTCAAGAAGCTAGGGAAGTCCCGTGGGTTCCACGATCCCGTCTAGATCAAGGCTTTTCAGCCTGACAGAGTTTAGATCTAATGGTAGGTTTCGCGACCAAGTTTGAGCCATGATTCAGGATTTTACACCATCCATCAAACCAACTATTTCTGGTATTAATTAAATGCTGGTGGGTTGAGCTTCCCTTCCGGGTGTGCGGATCACGCGCGTTTACTATCATGATAAGATATTATTTGATTTGATATAATATTGATCAGATTATGAATTGAATTTAAATTTGATTTGAATTTGGTTTACAGGACCTATATGTTTCTAAAATTACCTAGTATGCCTGTTCTTTCATAATTTTATACTATGTAACTATGTATGTAACTATACCGTCTTGTCTACAAGGAGTATTTGTTTAATTATAATGTATACCTAACTATACAACTAGCTATACAATCTTATTCAGTTTAAGTCATATGGTGATCTTTTTTTATAATCCGTTATAAATATCATAAATAACTTTTCTATATATAAAAATGTATAAATAGCAAATACGAAATATTTTCATTTAACAGATAAAAACGAGTTGCAAATTTAAGACTCACTGACTTTTAACTATTTAACCAGGACCCCTTGATGTATAAAGTAGAAACTTTTCACTTTGAGCGATCCTTGAAAAACAGCTCTGTGATCACAAACTTGCGTTTTTTGAATTTCTTTTTTTATAACGTGCTTTTTATGAATTGTTAATTTGTTTAGGTTTAGAATTCCTAAAGAATGTGAGGTTTGGAGGCAGTGGAGGTTTATCCCAACCTAGTGGCTTCTCTAATATCCAAACCTCACTTCCTGCCTCTGGAGGTTCGGAGGCTAAACTGATAAAGATGGAGGAGGATTCTAAATATGGTTCTAAAGTAATCAGGTAGAACTTTAAACTTGAGAATCCTATATATTTATAGAAATACTATTGAGCTCTTCTTTTTGAAAAAACTATGTTAAAGGGACTTAATACATAATTTCAAGTAACTCCGTTTATAGAGTGGGATGTACTATTTACAACCGTAGATACTAAACCATTGTCGGAGTATAATAATAGTATAGGTTTCCCTTTTTTCACTTTTCTATTATCTACACAAATTTGACTTGCGCATTTATGCAGCTGGAGAAAAGAAGGAAATTATCAGAATTCTTCATTGACGATAAATTCCTGAGTGTACTCAGATCAAGTTTTAAAGATTACTGTTGTGAATCTGATCAGCCACTTTTTTAATAAAGGGTCGAATAGAATTAGAAACAAAGACGTTTTAAAAATGTTCTGCCATTTTTCTTAAAATTTTTATCCTGACTTTTTTAGACAACCCAAGAGGGAGAGGGACAGTGCGACGCACATTAAGAGACCCATGAACGCGTTCATGATCTGGGCAAAGGATGAACGGAGAAAAATCTTAAAAAGCTGTCCTGATATGCACAATTCTAATATTTCAAAAATACTAGGTAAGCTTACAATATACAATAGCCGCTACTTTTATCAACTAGGAGTTAGGACTGATTTGAATTTTTGATAATTGGCTGAAATAGTTTGGATTTGACAGTAAAATTTTGACCTTACACTTGACGTAGGCCTTAATATTTACGAAAAAGAATGTACTAGAATTTGAACGTTTAAAAGAAAACCTTAGTGTGTTTGATATTTAAAAAATGCTTTTCAATATCTTTTGCTTAATTTACACATTAACTATTTTGAACTATTTTTACAATCCTGTGTCGTCTGAAGCATTGACATGTCCAATGCCCATGCTTGAAATTAAACAATCTTGTGTCAGGAGCATGTTTAAAGGGAGTGTTCGCGAAAAATCAAAGGGGTATATGTTGACGTCGAATTGAATTCGATATCGATCCCTACTAAATTTGCGTCTGTAAGGAGAAAACTGTTAACAACGATTTATACCGGAGAGTGTAAACCATGCACACAAGAAGTTGCATTATTCCACTCAGATTTTAAATACTTAAATTAAGTTAAAAACTTCTGATTTAGATATTACAACCTATTTGTATATTGTTGATATTTCATATATATAATCAGAAGCTGTCAAAAGTCTTGTCTATCATTTTCACATGGATATTTCAAGAATACGCGATTAACGCTGATGTTTCCAGGATCAAGATGGAAGGCGATGAGTAACGAAGAGAAACAGTTCTTCTATGAAGAGCAAGCTAAACTTAGTAAATTGCATATGGAGAAATATCCAGATTACAGGTATAGACAGAACATAATAGGTTAGGCCAGGATATAATTGGTTCGTACAGGATATAATAGTTTTGGACAGAATAGGACAGAATGGGACAGGATAGGACAGGATAAGACAATAAGGACAGGATAGGACAGGAAAGGACAGGACGGGACAAGAACCATTAGAAATCGTCAGAACAGAAGTCAGAAAACGTTGGAAAAGATAAGGCAGAGGGTTGAGTGGAAGATAGGGGACAGGATAGGATAGGATTCTGGACAGGATAGGACAGGAAAGGACAGGACGGGACAAGAACCATCAGAAATCGTCAGAACAGAAGTCAGAAAACGTTGGAAAAGATAAGGCAGAGGGTTGAGTGGAAGATAGAGGACAGGATAGGATAGGATTCCGGACAAAAAAGTTAAGGAACAAAGCAGGACAGGATATTAGAAGCAATAAAAAATAATATTTTCAGATATCGGCCCAGACCAAAAAGAACTTGTATTGTCGACGGGAAAAAACTTAGAGTTTCTGAATATAAGGTAATCATAATATATATAACAACAATAATTGCAATTATAGTGATAATATAATGAAAAACCGTCGAGAGGAAATGCGAAATATCTGGTGCAACGACGGAGGAAAACCCTTCGACAAGAATCCCGACACCTACTCTAATATCCCATATTCGACATCTTTCGACTCATCAATACTGTCGCCAAACCAGTTCCCGCATTCACCATTTTCTCTAACTCCGCTCAACATTGTCGACAGACGGGAAGACGACGATATTGCGACATCTCGTGATTCCGAGTCTCCAATTTCCGATGTCGAACTTACCTAAAAACAGTTTTTAAAGTCAACTGAAAAAAACCAAAGAAGTTTGTTAATACTTTAATAAAAACTGGTGATTCCATTTTTAAGACAATGTACATATCACAAATTTTCAATCTTCAAATAAAATTATAATCGCAAAAATGAATTTTAGAAGTTTTGCGAAAGAATGCAAATTTCCCTTTTTTAAATTCATAAATTTACCTTTTATCGAACTTTGTAAATTTGTAAAAACTAGATTTTTTAGTTAGCTTTAGTAATTAGCTTTTTATAATTTTGTTTAGTTTATATTGACTAACAAGTAACATGTACATTATTTAGTGGGCTACATAGCATCTTTAGTTTTTAGCATTTCTACCGCCTTTAGCTAACTCAACGGCATTTTTAGTTTTTTTTAGGCATTTAGAAAATCTAGTCCTAAAATACCTCTTTTATTGTTAATTTACACCCTCAAAAACAGATTAAATGCAACATTTGCAAAATTTCTGCAGAAATAATTCAAGAATTTTGAAAACATTTAAATTGTAAATATAAGCGTGGACATGTTTTGTAAATAAATGTAAAAAATTTGATACTCCGTAAATATATTTAAGAAATTTTTAACATCAAAATAATAAATGTTATTTGTTAATTGTAAAAAATATTTTAAATGAAATAAAAATTCATCAATTTCATTCAGAACTTCGTAAGAATGGTTTAATTAAGCAACGCCGCTCCCTGTAAACATGTCGAAATTAGTTTAGGTCAGAGATAACAGAGTTACAGAGATCGATTAGCACCTATAATATGCGATATTTTCCACAGAATGTTCTATTGTGTACAAGTACTGTACACGACCAATCAGGAGGCATCTGTATTCAGGGATATTTAAGGATTCTTTGAATAAGAAATACAATATCTATAAAAATAGACAATATTCATAAACGTTATGTTTCATGTTTAAAATTGGAGTATTTCTTTAAAAGTTGTAAAACTTAACCCCTGAATGCAACAAAAAGCCGTGAGATGTCAGTCAAAAACATTACATGAAACTGTAGCATGGCGTGCCGGGACACTATAGGCCTGCACAGCCTATCCAGGTAGAGTGTATGAGCAGTCTGTGTAGTCTGTGGTTTATGTTAGTTAGGGCTGTGTGCTTTGGATGGGACATTTAGGAAAATGTTTAGAAACAAATAGCTCAGATTTTAATGCAAAGTACACTATAGTTTCAGTAGAAGTAAATATTTCCATTTACTGTTATAGCGCCGATGTAAGGTTTATATCTAATTGGATAATGAGCTAAATAGAAAGATATATGTTACCGCCATGCAATTTCTATTGGTTCAGAATAGACAACAAACACATGACTGAACCCTGATTGGATTAGGGGCTAATGGACTCGGCATACAAGAGTGAGTAGCGAGCATGAAAAGAGGTATTTACATTTAAATGGAAACCTCTGATCGGTAAAATTAGTAGGAATTTCTTTCTCAGATATCTGAACACTCCCTTTGAAGGAGTTTTCCCAAAAAAATCCCAGTCATACTGGACTAGCATGAGAAGAGAAAAGGTAAAATTTACTCGACATTACTGGCACAACTTTATGACCTCGTAGCTCCTTTAGATTCAATTTAATTCATCAATATCATAAAAGCATTTCTATTTTATTATTTATTATATTATCGGAAACTTAAGATGTTTTGTTTTTTCTTATTGACCCTTTAATATCAGGAGTTATGATTGAAAATATTTCGAATTTTATTTAAATTTGACGTATAAGTATGAATTTTGTATAACCAAAGGTGTTAGTAGTATATAAAGGGCTTGAGTACATATTTGATAAACATGTATTCGGTTGCTAAAGGGTGTCCTAAGACACATGGGAATTAAGAGTCGACTTAAAAGTCGTTTTTTATTTCCACAAAACAATAACAAATGTTGTAATCATTTAAAGTCAGAAACCCTGTTCTCTGTAAGTATATTGTAAACATTGTACCCAAGTTTTGTTCCGGTTCCGGAGGTTTGGTGATTTTTTGTAAAGAGTGTGCGAGGTTGGGTGATTTTACTGAAAGAAACAACAAATCATTGTAAATCTTTTTTTTTAGATCTATGAAGTTATGTATAAGTTACTAGCTGAACGGCCCGGCGTTGCCCGTGGAAAAAAATTTAAAAAAAAAAAAAAAATTTTGAAAAAAAGTGTTCGTTCTTTTTAGCCTATATGACCCCCCCCCCCCCGGGCAATCCATGAGTGTTTACAAAAAATTTCAGCCCATTCGGTCCAGCCGTTTGGTTGGCTATAGGGAACATATATATGAATGTCTTGCAATATAAGAGAAAAAGAACTTTTACATGTAACCTTTAGATAATGTATCTTGGACCTAGAGTCAACTGCTTTAATGCAAAGATATTACAAGATAAGGAATATTTAAATTTTTATGAACACAAAAAATACGCTATTTTTAGGTGTCATGTAAATATTACAAAATTGTTTAACCTTTAGGCGGGGTGAAATTTTCCTTCAATTGTACTTTAATATGCTTGCTAGTAGCAAACACCTACTCCATAACAATTTACTCGAGACGTATCTATCCAGGTCAACTCGTTGCCAAGACTAACCAGGACTAACTATTTGTTTCTGAATGCCACAAAGGCAATATCTCAACCAGACTTAACTCTCCGGTTCCAAAGGACACACAGCTAGTCCCAAATCTCAACCAGGCTTAACTTCCTAGTTATAAAACCCACACAGGCAATTTCTCAACCAGGCTTAAGACACTGGCTCTGAAGGACACACAGTCCAAATCTCAACTCGTAAAATTCAACAATGACCAAAGCTATCTTTCAAGCTATATTCGATCAGATTGCCAATTATCCAGCAAGATCTCCACTTGCATAATTCAACGAGATCACAAGCTATCTTTCAAGCTGTATTCGATTCAATGCCAATACTTAAGGAAACCCATGGGTACCATTGGGTAAAATAGGCTAAAAAACGATTCTTTTCTTTTTTTAAATTCCACGGGCAATGCCGGACACTTAACAGCTCTAAAAGGTTTTATAATTTTTTATACGAAAATTTCATTTCCCGGAAACACTCGCGGCTAAAAATGTGCAGAATTCCGGGAGGGGGGGGGCGGGGAGAAAAATAATGGTATTGAAAGGAAAAGCATTCTTGATTAAGGAAGCGAGGAGGAGGTGGGAGGGGGGGGGTTTCTAAGTATGTATATATTACTCTATTGTGTGTAGAACCATTTGTTTAGTTGATCTGTTGTATATTTGTATAATAATCAACATATAATTTATATTCCATATCTATATATCTATCTATCTATCTATCTATCTATCTATCTATCTATAAAGTATATCATTATCCTGAGCTTTTAGTTCTTTTTGTTAAAAATTAGGCACGGGAGGGAAAACAATCATTTATGTTTGTACTTGTGTCTTTAAGAAGTATAAGAGGGAGAGGGGGGGGGGATTTTTCGTTGAAAATAGTTCTTTTTCCTATTTTACTTAAAATTGGCTTCACATTTAGGTGCATAAAGTAAAGGCAATGCAAACACAAAAGTGGAGATCTTTCAATGGCGCGTTCTGTCCCCTTTTCTTTAATCAATTTTAGCTTTAAACTGCCTCAAATTGGTGTCTTTCAAAATTAATAAATGTTGACATTATTTTCGGGGTAAAATTTTTTAATTTCGATCAAACATAAACCTCCCTGGGGTTATGTGCGGGGCCTCAAAAAAATTTGGCCCAATCCGTTCAGCCTTTTTTTACGTTTATTGGAAACAATCAATCAAACAGGGTGACCACGCCAAACTGAAGTAAACTGCATGTAAACAGGGGACGACGCCAAACTGAAGTAAACTGCATGTAAACAGGGGACCACGTCAAACTGAAGTAAACTGCATGTAAACAGGGGACCACGTCAAACTGAAGTAAACTGCATGTAAACAGGGGGACCACGTCAAACTGAAGTAAACTGCATGTAAACAGGGGACCACGTCAAACTGAAGTAAACTGCATGTAAACAGGGGGACCACGTCAAACTGAAGTAAACTGCATGTAAACAGGGCGACCACGTCAAACTGAAGTAAACTGCATGTTAACAGGGCGACCACGTCAAACTGAAGTAAACTACATGTCAACAGGGGGACCACGTCAAACTGAAGTAAACTGCATGTAAACAGGGTGACCACGTCAAACTGAAGTAAACTGCATGTAAACAGGGGGACCACGTCAAACTGAAGTAAACTGTATGTAAACAGGGCGACCACGTCAAACTGAAGTAAACTGCATGTAAACAGGGCGACAACGTCAGACTGAAGTAAACTGCATGTAAACAGGGTGACCACGTCAAACTGAAGTAAACTGCATGTAAACAGGGGGACCACGTCCTAAAGTTTGTTTTTACAGTTTTCAATCTCATTAAGATTTTCCGATTTTGTGTTGATCAAAAAAAAACAAAAGAAACTTTGCCAAACTAGTTCTTACATAAAACACCTTTCCTACACTGTTGCATAATATTCCATATTTCTCAGAGTTTAAAATCAAAGTAATGAAGTTTAAGATACATCAAAATACAATCGTTATTAGGAACACTTTCTGATGTGACTTGTTTTCTTGGTCCTCAATTCTTCTTCTCCTACTATTCCTCTTTAACCCTTCCCACCCATTTATACATCACTCCCTCATACCCCCACCCTTTCCTCCTACTCCTATAATCCCCCCTTCTTCCCTTCCCGGAGCCCCCCTGGGACTGTGGTTTCTCTGATCTGATCAA